TCTCGTATAATCTTAGAGTTCCACCTGACGAAGTATCAAATAAATAAAAATCCTGGGGATTTATTGAGAAAAGCATAAGTCTCAGAACGTGGTACTATATCTGCTTCAATAAATATACAGGACAGATCGAAGGCGAGCGCGCAGTATTGATAGAGGCCAGTCACCGAACGCAACATGCTGATAAAAACTGGGTCGACGATTTATTGAATGGATGTTTGTGAGACTAAATCGATCGATAAAACGCCGATCTGAGACTAGGTCACGTAGGCTCACAGACAAAGCAACTTTGATCAACGCTAGTCATGAACAACCGCATCGCGTGATTGAACGATCAACAGGAACGGATGAACGAATGCGTAACAGTTTGCAAAACAAGAACACTCCGTGAACTTCGGCAGAGTTAGCTATATCCCCGGAATTGTCGAACATCTCTACTGCAACTGAGTATCATTGTGCTTTGAAAAGAGGACGTTGGATATGGTCTGACAACTTGACTGAAATTAAGTTGACGGGCTCAATCGGGACAATGTTCAACAAACTCACCAAACCACCGCTTGCTGGGTTGGATTCGTCCGCGTGGCTCATATGGAGGATCATCTGTAAACCGACAAACTATATTCCGAAACAATAATAATAAACAAAAGTCGATAGAGATCAACAGGTGTGTGTGTGTGACATAGAGCAATGGATGAAGAAAAAAAGGATTAATCAAATGCTGGATTTACAACGCATTATAGTCCGGCTTAAACCGAGAACGAACATACTAGGAAGGACTTCAGCAAGCATAGAGCCAAGCAAACGAGGAGTCATTGAGAACTGATTTGTATGCCTGTTGACTAGATGTCTTCCGAATAAAAACATTTGGCTGATATGCCTACCGGCCATACTAAGCTGTAACCTGTGTTCATTGGTCAAAAACTGGTCAGATTTCCCGGATTTGATTCAGTCACATGAGTTCGCACAGACCGGTCTCAGGAGACGTAGTTATACACTGACACTGACGAGGAACTAATCCTACCATGATATTTTTTATTACACCGGAATTGTTTGTGCAGGGGGATTGATTGCGTACAGCGACGGTCACTCCGTTCTGTGTCGTTTTTTTGAAAACTTTGTTCACCTAGTCCATCGGTAATATAATTACTTCCGCGCCAAATATATGAGCCATTATTGTTTCTTCGGTTTTGGCAGTGGTCATAGGTTCCCGTCATGCACATCTAATGAATTTCCCGGTGCTTTTATTGTGACGATTTCAGTCAAGTCAAGTCAACAGTAGCTTTGTGCAACAGTGGGGATGAATTTTCAGCATTTTACACCATATTTGTTGATGTAAATTTGCAAAATCATTCATAATGAACATGAAAGCAATAGGTATCGTCTTTGTTAATGAAGCAAGCAATTGCTTACTCCTATGGAAACTTCCTCCCTGTAAACAAGTAGACGTGCTAGATAAGGTAAAACAGAATTACGATATAAGGAGGTACGAATTTTCTCATTTTCTTAGGCTCAGCACTCTCTGTGTATGAGATTTAATACTCACTTAAAGTGAGGTTCTAAATAATTCCCTGTTTGTATATGCATTCCGCCGGTCGCCTTTCATTACTTC